GATCCTACTGACCGCCGCTCTACTACTGGGTTTTGCTTTTTCTTGGGTGATTCTCTTATTTCTTGGCGCAGCAAGAAACAATCTCTTACTGCTCGCTCCAGTACTGAGGCTGAATATCGTGCTCTTGCTGATACTACTCAGGAACTTCTCTGGCTTCGTTGGCTTCTTGCTGACATGGGTGTTTCCCCCTCTGGCGCTACTGCCCTCTTTTGTGACAATCAAAGTGCTCTTCAAATTGCTCACAATGATGTTTTTCATGATCGCACCAAGCACATTGAGATTGACTGTGATTTTATTCGCCAACACGTCACTCGTGGTACTGTCCATCTCCATCCCATCTCCTCTGCTGATCAACCTGCTGATATCTTCACCAAAGCCCATTCTCCTGGCCGCTTCGTTGAACTTGTCTCCAAACTCCAGTTGGTTGATGTTTGTCCTCCTTGAGTTTGAGGGGGGCTGTTAATATATGAATATGATTGTATATGAATATAATATAATACTATATCTGTTATTAGTATATTATAGTATAGACAACACCAATTATAGCATAGGATTATTCAATTGTAACCCGCTTTCGGTGCCACCATCTTTCGGCCACTTTTTCTTATTATATTCAATTGTATCATCATAATGTTTGTGTAACAAACTCCTATATTATGGAGACTCAATCTTGATTCAATATAGAGTTTACATTACAATTCTCTTTCAATATTACTCTCTTAATTCGTCTTTCATAATTTATCTTTCAAATATACATTTATTTAGAAGGATTGCATTTTTCAATAAAATATCACGTGACATCATCATTGTGAATGGGTATATATATATATATATGTATATTTCATTTTGTTAGGCAAAACAAAAATAGTATATATATATATATATGTATATTTCATTTTGTTAGGCAAAACAAAAATAAAGTCATGAAAGCCATCAGATGAGTATACCATACCCAAAATTGCTGAGAAGGAGAAGGAAAAACTTACAAGGGCATTGAGAGCACCAGCCGATTCATAGATAAGATTTGGAAAAATTACCAATAGGTCCTATTTTTTAGACTTATTATCTATTAAGTCTTATTAATAAATTTATCAACCGATAAATTTGTCAATCTCTTGTTTTTATGAATAAATTTATAGTAATAAATTTATCAATATCTTTATTTTTATAAATAAATTTATAGTGATAAATTTATCAGTCTCTTATTTTTATATTGAAAAATTTCAATTAGAACATAAAAGTAAATAAGTCTAATTGGTAATTACCCCATAAGATTTGGCATTGATTCGCCTGTGATGTCTTTGTCGCTCCCAATCTCCAACAAAGCTTGCTATTCATTACAGAGGTGTTGTGATTGTAAACACATTGATGTGAAGCTAGTGTCAAACTTAGACCACATCCAATTAAACTTTATGATTAAATTTGTATCTTAAGAGTGTGTTATTTTATCTCATATAATATATTAAAAGAAAATTCTATAATATATGTTTCGTTATGATTTTTGTAATTTTTGGTTATAATCTATTGTGGTGTTAATTAACTTAATTATGAGCTCTTGTTTTCCTTAGTGTTTAGTTAGAGCATCTCCAACCCACTAGGCATATGATGCTTGTTAGTCAAAATGCTTAATATGACTCACTTTTTTCAACTCCAATGCACTAGGCATATGCTTAGGCATTTTGGCTCAGCTCACATTCACTAGCTACATGTAGCTAGCCTTCAAGGCTAGGCAAAATGTATTTAATCATTAAGATTATTTCCCTCTATCTTTGTTGCTGACGTGACATTCTATAAAGTTAATAGTATTTGGATGAATAGCTAAAATAAAGAGCATGGTTGGGGTAGAAACATGAAATTGTTGACAGGCAAAATAAAATGTATACTTTATAGTAATATTTAGATAGGTAAAATGCCTACTACCATTGGAGATGCTCTATTGGTTATAATTTATTGTGATGTTAGTTATGATTTATTGTGATGATTATTTTGATTATGCTTTATATGTATTTGGTTATGACTCATTATGTTTTTTTTAATTATAAATGAAAATAAATCATCAATATTCTTCATCATGTTACCACTTTCCTCTCTTGACCAAGCTTTTACTCCTAGCTTGAACTACAAGCCACACACACACACTTGTGCCTCCTGCTATTCTTTAAGAATTTGACCCATCTTTATGTAGACAGTTCAACTAAAAGCTTAGCTCTTTCGATGTTCTTCGGCTCCAATCAGGGACGGAACTAGAAGAAGATTATGGCCCCCTTGTTTCTATAAAAATTATTGTTTAACTTTAAAAATATATATATCATTTTATATATAAAATGACTCTCAGTAAAAAAATATATATGTCATTCTTCTTCTATCTTGAATTTTCTTTCTATTTTACATAAAAAAAAAACTTATTCATCATATTAGAAATTGCTTCTATAGTATTTTAATTTTTTTATGTATATATAATTTATATATCATATATACATACATATATGTGTTTTGTGTATATGGTGAAAAAAAATTATTTTTCTTTTAGCCCCTCTGATTATGAAATCTTAATTCTGTCCCTGCCAAACAACATTTTCCCCCCTTATACTTTTCTATTCCTTTTAATAAATTACTTTTAAGATCCAAACAAAACATTAAAAAAAATTCAAAATGAAAGAGACAGTAAAATTGGATAAGAATGGTAGATTAACCTGAATAACAGTATGATGGTTTTGGCGAGTAAATCCTTGAGAAGTCCATTTGTTGAAAGCCTCACGCTGCTGTTGGTTAGTGATGTACTCATCCCCAACCTTCGCTCTCTCAACTACATTCTCCACCCTTGCCTTCATGCTTTCATACATCATGTATAACATGATTCAAAAAAATTAAAAAAATACAGAGGTGATTAAAAATATAGAGGTGTATCCAGCTATAAATGATACATTTTTAGTCATCTAGGTAGGTAGAGAATTCTTCTTTCCAATCTACTCTGTCATTCACTCAAAAAATCTCTCTCTACTACATGATTAGTTCAGAATGGAGATTTTCCTTTCATAATCAATGACACTTAAAAATTCACAACATATCTTTATTTTAAATAAAAATTAATTAAAAAAAATTTAATTATAACTCGTGGTCAATATTTTGACCACAATATTTTAACTCGTCAGTAACGATAATCAACTATTGACAATAGTTAATGATTGATAATAGTATGTGAGAATATTGTAACCATAATGACTATATTCATTAAACATATCCTTGACACTAAAACAAAATAATCACTGAATTTAATACCATATATACCTATAAAAATGAATTTATCATTAATTTTTTCTTTTTTTTATTACTATGGATTTTTGTAGTAACTCTTGTGCAACTAATGTGGTCACCGCGGCCAAAACCATGTAAATAGTTGTTCATTAGACCACCTCACATCTAGAAGAGAGATTTTGATTCTCTCAATAAATTTTTTTATATCATTTTATATGATTAAAGTGTATCATTGAAATTTAAAATTAACAGTTATAATTAATTTTTTTTTTAATTATTTTTTATTTAAAATAAAGATATGTTGTGAATTTTTAAGTATCATTGATTATGAAAGGAAAATCTCCATTCTGAACTAATCATGTAGTAGAGAGAGATTTTTTGAGTGAATGACAGAGTAGATTGGAAAGAAGAATTCTCTACCTACCTAGATGACTAAAAATGTATCATTTATAGCTGGATACACCTCTATATTTTTAATCACCTCTGTATTTTTTTAATTTTTTTGAATCATGTTATAGATGATGTATGAAAGCATGAAGGCAAGGGTGGAGAATGTAGTTGAGAGAGGGAAGGTTGGGGATGAGTACATCACTAGCCAACAACAACGTGATGCTTTCAACAAATGGAATTCTCAAGGATTTACTCGCCAAGACCATCCTACTGTTATTTAGGTTAATCTCTTATTCAATTTTACTGTCCCTTTCATTTTGAATTTTTTTTTGATGTTTTGTTTGGATCTTAAATTTATAAAGTAATTTATGAAAAGGAATAGAAAAGTATAAGGGGGAAAAATGATGTTGGGGGTGAAAGTGGTGCTTGGTTTGAGATAGTAATTCTTGGGCCAAGTTTACTTAATTTAAGAGTAGGCAAATTCGGGGGAAAAAAAAATTATATTTTTATAATTTAATCTAGGATTATTTTAAAATACACACTTTTAAAAAAGTATTTACTATATGTAAATTATGATATTTGTAGTGTTAAATACTACAAATGTCATAACTAAATCATTTTCATTTATAATTAAAAAAAAAAAAAACATAATGAGTCATAACCAAATACATATAACGCATAATCAAAATAATAATCATAATAAATCATAACCGATATTATAATAAATTATAAAAAATGGTTATAACTAAACACTAGGCATAACAAGCGCTCATAATTAAGTTAACCAACACTACAATAGATTATAATAAAAAATTACAAATATCATAACGAAACATATATTATAGAATTTTCTTTTTAATCTATTATGTGAGATAAAATAACACAACTTTTAAGATACAAATTTAATCATAGTATTGGATGTGGTATAAGTTTAACACTAACACTTCTGTAATGAAAAGCAGGTTTTGTTGGAGATTGGGAGAGACAAAGACATCACAGGCGAATCAATGCCAAATCTTATCTATGTTTCCAGACACAAAAGCAAAACGTCCCCACATCATTTTAAGGCTGGTGCTCTCAATGCCCTTGTAAGTTTTTCCTTTTACTTCTCAGCAATTTTGGGTATGGTATTCATTTTGTTTTGCCTAACAAAATGAAAAAAATATATATGTACCAATTCATAATGATGATGTCACGTGATATTTTATTGAAAAATGCAATCCTTCTAAATAAATTTATGTTGAATTAATTATGAGAATGACATAGCAGTGATAATTTTGTAAATAAAATATGCATTTTGATGTGTGTTAAGTTTTAAAGTGATAGGTTGACAACTCAACTTATTATTTTGTACATATTTTGTAAGGGTTTAACTTATTTCAAGTTGGCTATTTCAACTTGAAAGAGCGTTTGGGCTTATTAGGTTTATTTTGGGACTGATTTCGGTAATTTGGATCATTTATTTTTTAAGATTCGTTGAGTAGAATATTCATGTAAAAAATAAGATAATCAGACATCAATAGCTATATATTTAAATTAAATTTGTATTATAAAAAATAAATTGATAATTCTTTTTTTTTTCTTGTTTTTTGATTGAAGAAACTCAATTACATCGAAACAGAATCAAGCAGATTAGCAAGCTCTAATCGAGTGTGCCTGACCCTTGACCCAATCATGAGGGAGGGAACCCCTAAGCCCAGCTCTAGCAACCCAATCAGCCACACCATTTGCCTCTCTTGGCACCACTTACCAACTTCAAAATGATGACTATTTTTTAAATTATATTTGTTGTTTATTTTTTTAAAACAAATATGATTCAAACTTATAGTTACCGATATCCAATCACCTTAATCTTTTACGTGAATATTCTTTTCAACAAGTCCTAAAAAATAAACGATTGGGATCACTAAAATCGGTATTAGAAAAAATTCTTTTTCTAGAATTAAGATTTCATCCCAAAAACGTACTATTCCCTCTCTTATGCTTTCATACTTTTAAATTTTTAAAATTTAAAATTAAATTATATGATTATAAATAATAAGATTAGGAGACATTTTTTAAGGCAAAAAATTTCAGCACCTTTTCCATAAAGGTTCACATTGCATATGTACTATAACAATCATTTGTCAAGTGACCTCTGAATAGAAGTCAATGGCATGTTGAGAGAGATTCTATCGCGAAAAATGACTTAGACCTGAGCTGGGTGCTGGGGATCGGCTTCTATTGGACAAAAAAATTATTATTTTTTTTATTTTTTTATTTTCGGCCAACCCCAGTGCGACACGTCACTGGGGGTTGTCAGTGGGGGTCACCCTACTGGGGGTTTGTAGCATTTCCCTTCTATCACAAATGATCGATGAGCATGTTTAACTAAGGAAAATCATTTAGAAATCAAATTTTTATACAAGAACTTATTATTTTGATTAAAAGTATGAACTAGAATAATGAATATAACTTAAAATGATGGATCAGAAAAAGTCACATTATTTTATATAAAATGCATATACAAAAATTTTGTTTGTACAGTTAATTATCTCTTAAATCTTCTTTTTAAGATTAAAATAAAGCAAAATCTTTAAGATTCTAAAACAGCACTTTTAAATTTATATCTAAGTGAATTGTTATATATCATTTATTGATTTGTTAAAGAATGAACAAATTAAGACCCAATGTTGTGGTGTTTTAAGACTGACATCATTTAAAATAAAACATATATATAGGTTGCTTCAAAAATAAATAAAAGATAAATTATAAATATATCTTTTAAAATTTTCTTAAAAT